TAAAGTGTCTGAACAGTTTCTTGATTGACTATATTTGATAGCAATAATCACTTTTAAATTTATTAATGTGACACGTTTATCTAGAGTGCTATATTTTCTAGCTTATATCACAAACTAACCCCAATTAGATAATTACCACTCAATGATCCCTGCAAACGTTTCTAATCATGTGCTCATTAGGAGCTAATCTCATGAGAAAGCTCTTCGAATTCAACTGACAGTTCTTGACAAGTTAAGTTCCACTAGATCGTATACGAGACCATTAGGAATAAGTGATGGTAACTCAATACCGCGAATTAACTAAAGTTAAAAATTCAAACCAGTGGATGCTGGCTCAGTCGACTAGTAGATAAACTCTCACCATGAGACTTGAATTTACAGGTTTCTATCTCTTATACGATATGATTATGGATGTTCATTTTTATTATAATTGGACAGTATCATATTACTCATATCAATCATATATATATATATATATATATATATATATATATATATATTACTCCTGTTACTCCCAATGGAGCATAGGCCGCCAATCAGCATTCTCCAACCCACTCTGTCATGGGCCTTCTTTTCTAGTTCTATCCAACTTTTGTTCATTGTTCTCATGTCTGTCTCCACTTCTCGGCGAAATGTGTTCTTTGGTCTTCCTCTTCTCCTTTGGCCTTCAGGATTCCATGTGAGGGCTTGTCTTGTGACGCAGTTGGGTGACTTCCTCAATGTGTGTCCTATCCTCTTCCAGTGCTTCTTCCCGATTTCTTCCTCCGCTGGAATATGGTTTGTTGTCTCCCACAGTAGCTTGTTGCTGATAGTGTCTGGCCAACGGATCCGAAGTATCTTGCGTAGAGAACTGTCAATAAACACCTGTATCTTCTGGATGATGGCTTTTGTAGTTTTCCACGTCTCCGCCCCATACAGTAGAACTGTCTTGACATTTGTACTGAAAATTTTGACCTTGTTGTTGGTTGACAATTGTCTTGAGTTCCAGATGTTTTTCGGTTTTAAATATGCTGCTATTGTTTTGTCGATCCTCGCTCTCACATCTGCATCAGATCCACCGTGTTCATCAATGATGCTGTCCAGATATGTAAAGGTTTCCACATCCTCCAAAGCTTCTCACTCATATCAATCAGTAATATATAAATGCTATAAATTTGTTCATCTTACTATTTAATTATCATAATCAAAGCTAAACATGCATCCTTATAAACCATCATTCCACATTATTGAATGACGTAACGAAAAGTTCGCAATTATAACAGATGTTAATGGTTGATAGAAAATTGGACCAGTTTTATAAATACGCATAATGAAATTCCATACGACGTTACGTTATAACAACAACAACAACAAAATAGACAGAGATTGAAAACAAACCATTTGTCACTTATTTTCTTTTTTGTTGTTGTTGTTGTTCACTTTTTCTTTGCAAAGTGATTCCAGGTTTTCCATGTTGGTCTAATTTTAATTGACTCATGATTTCAACTATGAAAATGTTTGTTGATTATCCGATTTGAAAATTGAAATGTATACGCTCTATCAGCCAACTTAACCAGTTAGTTAAGTGACATGACTAAGCATGAATTAGAAAGTTATAGTGACGCCTTGAACTGAAATGTATGCAAACTTATCAGTGTATACATCTATACATATATCCTTCAGATAATTGAGTTAAATCTCCGCTAATAGATTCAACTACCAACAGCATATGTGAATACTTATCTGATGTGTCTGCATTGCCTCAGCCTATAATCTTTGAATTCTGTACATAAGTTAGTCAGTCTTCTAAGATATAAACCATTAGATCCAAACTCAATGGTCTAATGGTTAGGCGCTCGTTACAAAGCTTGAAAGCAGTGGGTTCGATCTCTGATGGACTCATAGATAGGTACTACTGAGGAATGTCATGTTCGAATGAATGGGCTGTTCAAATAGACCCTAAATTGCTTAATATGTATGATGTTTATTTTTCAGAAATCATGTTATCTCGTTGTTGACAACACATTGGTATTTAAAGCAATACACACCGAGTTCATATCTCAGAGTGAACATCAACACTGAGATCCAAGTGTTGTCATTTACAGTGTCTTCAATATAGAAAGATAACTGTTTGTTTTCTTCTGACCTCAATATTTCTTATAAGAATGAAATTTTCAATAGTTCTCGATCACAAGTTTTCAGATCCCTTGACTAGCTTGGTGCTTCAAGACCATTCAGTTATAATCAAGTGATTGATATTTACAATCTATAATCTTGGTGTAATCTACATTAAACGGATAACTAACTTAATCTTAATTCCAAATCATGAAACTTATGAACAAAGGCCATTTGTGAGCAGATTATTATACTTTAGATATTCACTTAGCTACAACTGACCGTACATGAACTAACAGTTCCCTCACTTAATACGTTCTCTTTTCACTGAAGACAACTAACCTTAGACAAAGTAACAGGTCATTAAGTAGCAACCAATATCTTTGTGTCTAGTCCTTTATGCTGGTCGATGTAACTACCAGTCTAAACGTAATTTACGTCGTAATTCCCTTTATTCGATATTCGGTGATTTGAAATAGTCAGCAGAAAACTATGAACTCAGGTTAAGTATTATTTGACACTCGTCATCAGGTCATAATTACAATCTTGAAGGAACTGATGTTCTTTGTATAAATCGAATTCGTATCAACCAGATTCACAGTCTAGGACATTACACTGGCCTATTTCTTGCCACAACTGATCACTTATAACGCGGTGGGTTTTTTTACATTAATTTATCACTGATTGACAACTGTTGTCATACTTGCTTAAACTTGGTTTCTGACAGATCAAGCTTACAATGGAATGACTACTTTATGTGCATTAAAAAGCATCCACTGGTTCCTTTCAACAACAAAAGTGTTAAATTTCCGTTTATATCATTTACCACTAGCCATTCAAGTTAAATATTAAATGTTATCAATTTTGAAAGGTACCTTGAAATATTTCTTTTCTATCAAATATTTATTTAGCGTTATAAACGATAAGATGATCAGTATAAAGGTGTTGTGCCTTCTGTTTGGTTATCTTGACACATTACGAATGATTGAGACAATCATAAGTTCCAGTCCTGTTCATTTGGTCTGTTGTGTTCAAACTGAAAAGATCTGTTTGCCCAGATTGTTACGTTTATTTTGTACTATTTATTATTAAATATTTTGGCTGTTTAGCAATGAATATTAGTTCGTGTGACTTTGTCTTTAACTTACTATACCCAAAAAATTTCCAAATTGAGAGTTGGATGGTTGAAAAACTAGATAAATATAACCTTCACCATCATATAGTGAGCAAACAATTATAAATATCCCAGTCCTACAGTAGGGTAATAGTAGTATGAATAACTCAGTAGTAATGTCTTTGAATGTGTAACTGTTTGATATAGATTGGATTCCCACAGACTATGTTAGTTCCTACAATATTCTATATACATTTGTTGATTAGTGCCAACTGGCACAAATCGTAGGTTCAAGGTTTTCAACCGACTACTTTTAAACATTTTGTACCAAAGATTAATTACATCTCCAAGTTAATGTTACTTTGAGTATATATTTTATTGCCAATAGCATTGTGTAAGAAAAAAGATTGATATAAAATCATTGTCTTTCTCAATGAAATTATAGTTATTCCATAGATAAACAAAGAATTTTGATAGGTGTACTTCAAATGTTTATGATGCAAAGAAATCGTCCCAGTATTTCGTTTACAAATAATTACTCAGAAATCCGAAATCTCACCGTTTAATCAGATAACGTTTACTTACGCCTGTTACTCCTCGTGGAGGAACATAGGTCGCCCACGAGCATTCTCCATCCAACTCTGTCCTGGATAATCCTTTCCAGTTTTTTCCGATTGCTTCCATTTCCCGACGCAGTGTGTTCTTTGGCGTTCCTCTTTTCCGTTTCCCTTCAGGATCCCAAGTTAGCGCTTGCTCGTGATGCAGTTTGATGATTTCCGAAATGCATGTCCTATCCACACCAAACGTCTTTTCCTAATTTCCCCTTCAATTGGAAGCTGGTTCGTCTTCTCCCACAGAAGGCTTTGAATTATTATTAAAGCAAGAAAAGTCTTTTTTGTTCTGTAATTAATAAACAAAGTCTGAATCATGGACTGTTAAAGTAAGTGAATATTATTCACATTTATAGATGAAATACAGTAATATAATGTGACTGAGTAGCTACTGTTCCTTAGACACAATATATTGACATGAATTTCTGAATGAGTTGAAGTCAGAGAAGAGTTCAGTAGGAGGTTCTTTTTAATTTTAAAAACAAATACAACTATTTATTCATCAACAATCTGCCTCCAAATGCCCTGGTACGGCCGAGAGTTGGGAGAGTCCGCTCTCCCTCTCCAAATGCTCTCACATGGCCACACGTATATAGCCTCTGCCACGGAAGTCCTACTCACTGACTTTTCGTGGTGGGGGTGATGTTCATGAAATTGAGAAGATGATAAGCGAATATCCGGCTCTTTGACCGGGTTGGTGGACACGGCGAGTCCACCTAGAGGAGTTGGAAAACCGTGATTCCAAACCAATGGTGAACATGGGCTCCAGTATCCTGAGGGGAAATATGGTATATGAATCAATCGTTGGTCATCGTCTGCCAAGGGACTGCATCTTCTCACGATGCTCTACTACCTTTTGGGTTAGACCTTTAGGTCAAAGGCTGGTGGTGTGGCCACCTAAGAAAACCACCTGATTCACTTTGGGCACCTTGGCAGTAACACAACCCTCACACAAATCATATGAGATTTGTGTGGCACATATATATGTGGTGCTTCCTTGTACCAATATTTATGTGTTTAAATAAATAAGTAAATAAATATTCAATCATCAAACTATAAATTCTGATGAATTGAGAAGGAAATTTGATTGGTTAACATGGTATTAACCAGTCACAATCACACTTTTGTTTTGATAAATAAACACTGATATATATTACATTTGTCAATTAATGGGACAGTAGCTTGTTCATTTATATCAATCTATATCTATATATATGAAAGAGAAATTACTATTACAGGTTTACTTTGCAATCCTTTTTTGTTTACACATTTCAAACTGTAATTTTATATGTACATATATATATTAACGAATTGTTCTATGCACACACACACATAAACATGTGTGTGTATTCACATATGATTTCATTCAGATGATATATATATGTGTATATATGTATATATTACATAGTTACACAATACCTATACTCTGATATATACTCAATACCATAGAAACAAAACACCTCATGATGATCACTCAACCAGAAGTGTATATAAATAAATAAAGTATTATACTATGGTGGAGATGCACACATATGTATAGCTATATACACAAAGAGAACAACTCACTTTTAAACAAAAATCAATAATATGAGCACACAAATTATTCAATTTATTACTTATTTCTTTAATACATGTGGTTATTAGTCAATATTATTATTGGTTATACATAGATACTGTTTGTTTTTTTTCATAAATAAATACCAGAAATGTAAAAAAAAAACAATATGGAATTTCATCGTAATACTATTCGACAAATTGGTTACTTTACACCAACCTATTCTAATTCACCTAATATTAAACGATATCCAGATTTATTGAATAATTATCAATCCGAATCGTATGGATTAAATTATTTAACACAATTACATATGGCTTATCATTTCCCTAATTATCACCATGGAAATATAACTAATATTGTAGATATGGAACAGAGTAATTATGATAATAATAATAATAATAATTTAAACAGAAACCCCCCAAGTAATAATAATAGTCATGTACGTATTAATCATACACTTGATGGTAAAACACAAATTATTTATGAAACACCAAGTAAAACACGTCAATATTGGTTAGATCGATGTAAGTTATCAAGCATCAATTATATTGTTAATAATAATACAGATAATAATAATACAGATAATAATAATATAGATAATAATAATAATATTAATAATAATAATAATAATAATAATAATATTGATCATATAATAATAATCAATAAAAATGATCCCAATCGAAATAAATATAAATCAATGAAAATAAAATATAATAATCAATTAATCAATAATAAAAATAATCAATTTAATAATAATAATAATAATAATAATAATAATAATAATGATCTGCATTTATATGAATTAACTGAAAATGAATTAATTTTATCTGAATTAGATCCATGTTTAAATGTATTAAATTCAAATATTAAAAAAATCAATAAAATTAAATTTATTGATTTAAATCAAAAAATTAATAAAAATAATGAAATTTTACCAATATATCAATCAATTGAACATACAATATATAAGGTTAGTTATATATATATATATATATATATAAAATATTGATTATTATTATTATTATTATTATTATTATTATTATTATTATTATCAGGAGTGGCATTTGTGTAGATTTGAGTATATTTATATTTGAAATGATGAGTGAATTGAAGGTAGACCACCATGGAAAACCTAGAGGCACTGGATGGCTGTTTCGTCCTATTGTCACAGTGTGCATCCACGATCCCGCTTCACGAGATTTGAATCCAGGACCTATCAGTCTCGCGTCGAAGCACTTAACCGATAGACCACTGAGTTAGCCGGCATTCAACGATGTTAATATATCTAACTTCAACCAATCCACGAAATTAAGCAACAATTCATCAATGTCTTCAGTGAGGAGTCCCACAATGAGACTAAACGTTACAAACACCTGTTCAAATGAAATAATTAAATATCTTTGGTAAAAATCAGAATTTTTATTAGCCTAAATATATATTTTTGTCAAATTGTATATGAACTAAAATTCAGACAGTTTCCTTATCATATTGCATTAATGATATCGAGCTTTGCTGGGTTTTTTGTTTTTTGGACTGTCATGTGATTTTTTCCATCTAAGTGTAGGTATGTGTTCATATGTTACTATGTGTACATCTTTCAGATGAATATATCATTATTGTACATTTGAGTACTGCTGAAGAATCCCACAATAGGATGAAGCGGCTATCCAATGCTTCCAGATTTTCCATGGTGGTCTAGCTTCAATCGACTCATGAATTTAACTAATAAATGTATATGTATTTATAAATTGATTTAATGTTGATATTCCTTATGGAAAAATTTACATCACAATTAAATTGTATAAAAATTAATCATGTGAATTAGTTTCTATGAATTTATTATTGTTGACCGACAGATATGTTATGTTGAATATTGATCATATTACCCCCCTCTCACAAGAAATGATTGTTTATCAATCAAATACTGCTTCAGAGTTATGGTTTGTTAAGATGAGATAAGTTGAAGTATACACCGTTTCTAAAACCATTAATATAAGCTTTATAAATAAAAGAGAATGACAAAGTATCATTTTGTAAATCAGTAATATACATAATAATTTCCATGTATGTATGAATTCACATATGTATGGAAGAGTAATTATGACTTGGATGTCAGTTAAATGACCTACTAAAAACAGTTGACAAGTACCTGATCTTAACTTGGCTTTTTGGTTTACATAAAAATTATACAGAACGAATATAATGAGGTAGTGGTCGCGGATAGTGAATACGAAACCCTGCTCGGCCTAGGTTTCGTGCTTGTTTGTCACTCGTCAGTCAGGTCTACCTGTAATATTGAGGGGACTGTTACTTCCTGGAGGACACAATCCATTGCCGTTCAAATTCATTGTTAGATATTTTATCACTGAGCTATTGAGACGCGGATAACTTCCTGTAGGAGTAATATGTATTTACGATTAACTCAACATTGAATGATGACCAGTGTCATGTGTCTTAAATCCATTTTTAGTACCAATCAAACTCTAAAGATTAGTATGGAACCTTGATCCAAGGTTTCCTTTCGACTTCCTATAACATTTGCCTTGCATGTCAACATCGTGGACGCGATTTCAAGTCACTTAGACTAATGATCACATTGCAACGTGATTAATAGAATTTTACCAATACTAAGGAGAACTTGACACACAAGACACTATGGTCTTTTTAATGGTTATTTAATTGTAAAAGAGCAAATACTTAGATTTATCAAAAGCGTAATTGATACGGAAATTCATACTCTTCCTTGTATGTTTGAAAACAATTTATACTTACACTAAACCTACCCTAGTTTAATTTATTATCCAAAGTGATAGAATTCTTACTAATGTTCTTCATTATCTTTGTTTCCTTCATCTTATTTATAAAATCTGACATCTATCTATCGGAATATATTATGTCAATATTATTTAACACCTTCATCTATAAACTAATGGATCTGAAAAAAAAAGACAAAATGATGGATATATGTTACATTCTTTACCTTGACAAAATAGATTCATTGTCATTTTATAATATCGATTTAAACTTCACCCCATCGAACAAGCAAGTGGCTATCAAGACTCGGTGGCCGAGTGGATAACGCCATGGCGTTTGAAGCGAATGATACTGGGTTTGAGTCCCAGAGTGAACATCAACAACCCTGAGATTCAGGTACATCCAGTTGACGAGTCCCAAATAGGACGAAACGCACGTCGAACTGGATTCCACTGCTAGTCACTATCCATCTCTGCTTATCATGCTTGTGAATTAAGTCTATATCGAGGAGATACGCATAGTATGCACATATGCCAATTAGAGACTGACCAGTTGCAGTCCTAAAAACATCAATGGGAAGATTCAAACATGCAATACTAAATGAATATCGATTTGGTTTACATTGATCAGTATTTGAAATTAACTATCATCACTTAGGTGAACTCATGACAGGTCAATTATTAATAATAAATATTAATAGTTTATCATACCTACCTGATTTAATAAATGGTGCATGATTTTAACAAATAAATATCATAATTATCAAAAATCAGTAAATAACTAACTGAATGATTGATCCTTGATCTCTCTCTCACTAAAACTCTTTGAAGGGGCTTACTAAAATTCAATTATTTAGATAACTGAATTCTTTAAATATGTATTATGTTTCATATGAGCTTAATTAAATGGCTTGAAATCTTCTGAAAGGATCTTATAACACCTTTATGGGTGTGAATGTTTATTTACTTATTTGGACACATAAATATTGGTACGAATTGGCTGCGAATACATATGCACCACACAAGTCACTTGATTCGCGTGTAGGCTACAACAATGCCCGAGTACCCAAACCGAAGTAGGTGATTTTCTTAGGAGGTCACAACTGGAGCCTTCGACCTAAAGGTCTGATCCATAAGGTAGTGCAGCAACGTAAGAAGATGCAGTCCCATGGCAGCCGGTGACTAACAATAGATTCGTACACCATTTCTTACCTTAGGATCCTGGAGCCCATGTGCATCATTGATTTGGAATCAGGGTTTTCCAACTCTTCTAGGTGGATCCTCCATATCCACCAACCCGGACATTCGATTTTTGTCCTCTCAAGTTTGTGAACAACACCCCACCATGAGAAGTCATTGAGTAGGACTTCCCTGACAGTGGTAGTACAGTCGTGTCCATGCGAGAGCATTTCGTGAGGGAGGTCTGACTCTCCCCACTCTCGAACTTACGAGGACATTTGGCGTATACGTTATTGAAAGTTTAAAAAAAACATAGATTTTATTTTTTCGTTTAGTAAGCTTTGACATTTTAAACAAAAATGTAACTGGGAGTGAACTAATTTTATTTAGTGCAGAATGAAAACACTGATACGTACAATTGGCTCCAGTGGATTCTAACAACACCGATATTAAACTTCCAATAAATCTATTGCAATTTAATATTTCTGGAATGCCTAATCCGTCATAATCAAAAAGAAAAACTACTCCATTGAGTTAAAAGAAGTAGGACTACAAAGTTGTACTACGGTGAACTTCGTTATGAGCTATATGATGAAGGGTAGAATAATAGTGCAATATGTATGTGTCAGATTCCAAAAACCTGATATTGTTTGTTATTAGCTAGTTTAACCTAGTTAGTCTCTTTTTTGGAAATGGAATTGATCAGAGTCAACTAATGAGAATCTAAACGGAAAAAATTCTTTCATTAACTGTCCCTGAGGAGGTTATTTGCGACTTGATTTGTTTAATGGTAATATTTGTGGATGTTGACTAAATTATGTGGATACGAATCTCATGAAAAACAACATGCTATTCAAGATTTTAGGAATCCTGTTTTTTATGACTAAGTGTAGTTCAATGGGTCTTGTTGTTAATTATTTCCAGAAAACATACAGTTACAGTTTTCAAATACATCTTGGCAAACTCGTTGATCAGTTATAACCAGATCTGATCTTACTAAACTTACTAAATATATGAAATAGATAATTTTTGGAAATAGCATGAAACTCATCATGATTACCATTTCATAGTTAACAACATGGATTGATCTCAGTTAAACAACAACTGAAAACCAGGAAGTACTGAACAGTTAATTTGTCCAAATAAACTACTGGAGACCGGTCCAGTGGTCTACAGGTTTAGCATCCGAGAGTAAAACAAACATATCAGGTTCTACTCTTGATGGCGTGGTTGTGGATGAGTGATGTTAATCATATAATATAGTCATACTTCTTCATAAAATGAAAACCCACAACCCGATAGAAAGTTGAAAATATTGCTAAATTCTAACGGAATTATTCAAATGATGAATTTATTTCTCTCCTTACTTTTATTTTTTCTAAAACATGAGCATATTTTATTAAAATTTACTCATCGAATTTGTTTGCAGTGAAAAAGATGACATTCACGTTGTGATTTAGAATAGATGGATTTCGGTAAATGGTGGATTCTAGCATATGCGTTTCATCCTGATTGGGACTTATCAGCTGGATGGGCCTACATCCCTGTGTTGATAGTGACGCTGAAATTTGAACTCAGAACCCTTCACTTCAGACCCTCAACAAATTATTCACTGATTCACTGAATCCAGATAGTACTGATCTTTCTAATGGGTATGATACTCATATCATGTTCATATCACTGCTAGCAGAATCCATTTAATTCAAATAACTTATAAAATCATGACTACAAAATCCCTGTAAAGGCGGACTAAAATTATCTCTTGAGTGTCAACAACCTGATACGTGATCACTTGTGATCGAATAATACTTCATATCAACAGACTTTAACTTGACGCTATTACGGTCCAAATAGCTCAACAATAATGTCACTAACTTTGATCCTGCATAATGAAAGCACGAATTTATCATGTCTTATGTATCTCCTCTATTAATGTACGTATCGGCTCTGTTACGTCCCCAGTTTTACTCCGATAACTTGACAATCAGGAACCATTGCAATTCCTTGGCCCTACCTGAAATTCTACATAGAGTAATAA